CTCGCTTGAGTTTTTACTACTCGCGCACGTGACTTTTACTGGTACTGACACTGGGAAATAATCACCCGATGTGACTCTCAAGTGGTAAGTGTCAAGTTGCAACTTGAATGTTCGTGAGTTCCCCACAGACACGTCGCCTTCACTCGGTTCTTCTTTTATTGCCGCGTCATTTTTAAGGGGGCGACTCTGCGTTTACAACGTGTGATCCTGGAACTGTAAGAACAAGGAGATGCCAATTCTGGATCCTTCACGGGCTCTCAGCTACGGCGTTTCTACTCGGTGCGAATCCTCGACGCAAAAGGAACTGGCCTGGCCACTTTGGTCCAAGCTCTCTCTCGGGTGGCCGGAGTGTCGGTCCTTGATGCGGAGTGCCCACGGACGGGAGACCGAGTCACGGTTGACAACCGACACTACCTTTTGCGTTTTGCCCAAGACGAATGCCCACTCGCCTTACAAGGAGTCACTCGGGTGGAGATTGGGTCTTCCACCGCGGTGATTCACCACCATCTCATCCATCATCGGCTACCTTGTGCACGGTGTTTCAATCCCAAGCATTCGACCGGGTTCTGCAAAGTCAACCCAGCCCACCTTGAGGCCAGCCGCACCCGAGGCTACCGGAAATTCGCCGGTAAAGTGAGAGTTTTTGAGGTAGGCCAGGCAGCGATGTATCGGCACACTGACCCAGCCAGTTTTGACCTCTTCTGGTTCACCATGTCTAGAGGGTTGTCGGCAGCAGGAAGGAGAGGATCCAAATACACTGCTAGTACCGGTCACATCAGTCAACGTGCAGCGTCCCAGGCGGAGTGCACCTGGCAAGGGGTTCTCACCCCTCCCGATTCCTCCTCCCACGGAGGCTAGGACTGATGGAGATTACACAATTGTGAGACGTCGTACACGCCCGGTTGACCGACCTGAGATGGGTGAAGAGACGACGCCTGTAAACAGGGAAGAATCGCGGGCACCCTCGGCGTTGGAGAAGCCCAACGTAGGCCACGCCGATCCGGCTGAAGACGAGGACATGGCGGAGATGGATATGCACACCTCGGAAGGACCGGCTTGTACGTACGGACGCTTCGAGGCACTCATGGATGAAGACATGAAGTCGGAGGCAGATAGCTCGGACAGGGACGACGAGGGCAAGGATTCAGACAGTAACAACGATGATGCAGCCTACGCGTTTCCTGACGACGGGAACACGGAGGAAGTGGACGTCATCATGATGGATGAGACGCAGAGCCTTAATGCTTTATCTCCTCGGGGTCAACGAATAGTGGAGACCCTCTCCCTAGCGTCTGACGTAGCGATGGGTATGGCGGAGGCCACAAGCGGGACCGAAGTAAAGGCAAGCAGCTCTCTGGACAGCGAAGGGAACCTCACCTTGAGCTACATAGGGTCTTCAGCCCCCACGCATTCTCAGGATACAGCCCCGACACCAGGGTCTGATTTCCCCTACTCGCTTGCCTCAACTTCCTCTGATCTTAGATCGGATAAACTAGCCCAGCCCACGCCGCCTCTCGGTCAGACCTCCAAGCTCGCGACACTGGAGACCGTGGAACCAGAACCGGAAGTGGAGTACGTGACAACGATCGCAACGGCCCGAAACCCCACGCAGGCGGCTTTTTGGTTGTCATGGTTTGGTGGAAGGGAGGTGTCAGTGCCGGACGCCGGACAGTGCGCCATCCTGGCGTTCTACGCAACTGTGACCAACCATGATGCCGGGTCTCTGAAACTGTCCCCGGCCGTGACAAAAGATGTGAATTCACACAAAAAGGCTATTTATTGTTTAATGCTGGCCAATTTACGGACCGACGTTCTTCTCGGCCTCATCGATCCGACTCAGGAGTTGGCGCGCCTGTACCCTGCGTGCCCATCCCCAGATTCACGGGAGCTAGCCACGGCCCTCCTGTTCCAGCACCTGTTGATTGAGCGAAACCGCTCGGTCGCTCGCAGAGTTCCCTGTGCCCACTGGGCCACCTCCAATGTTCTCCGCACGTACGCGCAGTACCTCCGTCAGCCGTTACTGGTGTTGGACGGACGCAAATGGTGATGCACACATGCAAGTATACAGCTACTGCCATCATGCGATGCCAGAGGGGAGGGAGGGGACCGCATCGACCCATGAGTCTGGCGTGTGCACAGTCATGACGGACGCCGAGGCATCAGAGTACCTACAGGCGTGCGGCCGTTTGCACGTGCTACCGTCTTTGATGCTTCTTAAACATCATGAGCGCCACTTCTATGGAGTCCAACACGGCGAGCTTTTTCTCCGTTGGCAGGCAGAAGGAGATCCGACCTACGCAGCGGAAATTACTGCTCCGTTCGATTGGATCTCATCTTGTCTCTCGACAGCACCAAATGTAGAGGTCATACGGACCCAGGACCCCTCCTGTCATGAAGCCCCCTTCACAGTATCCCTTGACAAACAGCCTATCGACCTCAGAAACGATTGTGATGAAGTCAACACATTCCTTCTCACTTGCCTTACGATGCGACAGCGACTGGACGTTGTGCATCTTCGGCGAGGAATGAGAATTCTAGATGCAGACAGTTATGATGCGAAACATATGGAGGAATTCATGTTTGAGGAGGAACAGCTGGTATACCTAACTGCTGGAATCGACCCATACGCGGCGGGGACTTCAGAAGTAACCAGTGTGGCGGAGTGGGTGGCGCCACCGAGGACACGACCACCGGCTCGGCGACGGCTTGCAGACGAAGGGTACTGGGACTTGCTTGCGGCGGATACTTTGGATGGGCTCATGCCGGCCCAAGCCATCAAACTCCAGTCGGCTCAACACGCAAACAACGGTGCCTATGAGCAATGGTGGGAGCGTGCCCGCGCAGGTTTTGCGATCGCCGATCATCTCGGCCAAGTCCCACCCTTTGCGGATGTGATAGCACATTATGTTGGTGATGAAGAGGTGGTTCGTGAGCTTTTTGCAATCCTACCATACCCAGAACTCGCAGCGAAGCAGCTTCCCCAAAAGGTGATCGAGCACTGGGGTCGACTCGAGGTGTATCGCTCCCAACGGGACTTTCTGCGCCGGATAGTTGCTGATTCCTCTCTTATGGACACACCGAGGGAATACTGCTCAGCGTGGCTTCAGGCTGGGGATTCGATCGACGGCACGGATCGCATGGAGTTAATGGCAGACCATAACCGGTGGGCTCGCCTCGCGCACTGGCCTCCAGCGTCCTTTTCGAGAGCTCGACCACAAGGGATCTCTCTATCCAACTGGCGGCTGCTCCACGTATTGCCTTATCTTCATCGACATTGGAAGAGCACCGCAATGGGGAGGGTGGCATCCAGCTCCCTACGACTATGGGTCACCACCTACCCAGTGCTGGGCATCATCTGTGACGAGACCGCGGGGGGGTAATTGGGGAGCGGTAGCGCAACTTCCACTGGATTGACGCAGGATGAACGGCTGGAGGCTAGCGTGAACCCAGCCGCTCTCCCCCGCCGTAAATAAAAGAGCCCTAGGCTCCTTAGCGCCTGATGACAACCCCGTGCAGCATCAGGCGGAACTGCCTCGAGGGAGGCATTGCAGGGACAGGGTGAATGATACTCGACAGAGTACCCCTCTTCCCCACCGCAGGCAGAGCTCCCGAACCCGGCCAGGGCAGCGGTCCTTGGGAGATTTTTTTCAGACTCTACCCCCAGAGCTTGTTGCCACCTCAGTCCGGCGTCAGTTTAGAACAGATCGGCGTCGCACGGTGCGCGCTCGTCAACGGTTGGAAAAGGCTAGAATGGATCGTTCCAACAGCAGTGGGCCCGGGGATCTTGGTGCCCGTGACTTGGACACAAGCTGCTTCGTGTCCCACAATGTGAATGGCTTCGGAAATGGCGCGGCAGACAGAGATGCTTGGTTCAGATCACTCCGGGGCTCGCTTCCTCAAGGACGTATAGAAGTTCAGTTGCTACAGGAGACCCATGTCAACCCGCAGGAGATCTATCGGTACGAATGCCACCATGCTGCCGGGTGAGGTTTTCGCACGGGACCAGGCACATGTGCTTATTCGTTTTGGGCACCGTCGGAAGACTCGAAAGGGGGAGTAGCCATTCTTGTCAACCCGTACGGTGCATTCAAGGACGTGATACCTGCCTTTGAGCAACACTGGAGCCCCCACTTCATGGCGGTCCAAGGCACCCTGCACGGTCAGAAACTGCTCCTACTCAATGTGTACGCCCCACATCGAACAGCGCAGCGAGAGAACTTCTTCCGATCTTTACTCGAGGTTGACCTTCCTGTCGACACCCTAGTTGCTGTCGGGGGGGGGACTTCAACTGCACCCTAGACGAGAAGGCAAATCGAAGTTATTTCTCCTCCTCAGGTACACACGACTCAGCTCCTCTACGTGAACTGCTTGCGAACTGGGGGCTCCTGGACCCAGTGGAGGAGGCGAGACCGGCGTGCTGGGACCCAGAGGCGCTCCGGGCCCATCAGGTGGCCACCCACACATACCATTACTCGGTCGCGGGGCATGGGGAAGCCTCGTCGCGCTTAGACCGGTGGTATTTGAACCCGGCGATGGCAGCCTGGGTGGCAGGCTGGGCGGTTCTCCCACCGCTCACATATGCGGATCACTAGGGGGCTCTCCTTCACCTCCAAGTTCCAGGGGACCCCGTACGGATCAAACGCACCGGGCGTCTTCACCCGGCCCCGGCGTATGCAGAAACGGCCGTTAAGGCCGCCGTCACACTGCTACTAGAACAATTCTGGACTGAGATCTCAACTGGAGAGGGCTCGGCGAAGGACGTCGCACACAGATGGGATGCGCTTAAAATGGAGATTGCCCAAGTCACCCGAAGGGTGATAAGAGGTCAGAGATACCGTCTGCGTAACACAACTCGCCAAAAGCTCCGCCGTCTGAAGGCGCAACAGACGCGACTTCTGGCCCAGGACGCTGACGGCGTTGCAACGGTTGAGGCCATCACTGCTGGCTTGGATGTCTTAGACCTTGAGGACGGGGTCGGATCCACGCCGCACTCGCGCATTCGTAGAGCCATAGCAGATTGCCAGCGGGAAAGGACGTCGGTTCGGCAACGACGCAGATTTACTGACGCGACGTTTTGGGAAGGGAAGTCCACGAAGGCCATGTTCCGGCGAGCCTCTAACAAGTACCAGGACAACACCTTTCGCCGCCTGGATGCTGTGGAGGGATGGCCGGTGTGTGCGGTCCACGCCAAAGCGGACACCCTGGCGGATGCATGGGTTCCGATACTCCAACAACGGGTCCGGGACCCGGGCTCCCAGGACGCGGTGGTGGCATGGATTAAGAAGGTGGATGACCCGACAATGCATCAGCACGCGATCACGAGTGAGATCACGGAAGCGGAAGTAGCTGCAGGTTTTAATGAATGGAAGAGCGGCAAGGCGACGGGACCGGATCATCTGGGGAACGACTGGTATCGCGAATACAAAGCGCAATTGATCCCTATCTTCACCTGGATGCCCAACAAATGGTACTCCGCAGGAGTGTTCCCACACTCTTTCCTGGAATCCAATATCTACTGCATCAAGAAAGGCGGAAATCTCCGAGATGCACTTAATTTTCGCCCCATTGCTCTCCTTAACACGGACTACAAGATCTTCGCGAAGATCCTAACCAAGCGTGTCCGACCTACTCTCGTGGACCGCATTCATCCGAATCAAAACGGGTTCGTCCCTGGGAGCACAATCCATGAGACTCTGCACCTATTTGAAGCCGCCCAAAGATATATCGAGTCCGACGCCGATCAAGAGGAGGGGGTTGTCCTATTCCTAGACTTCATGAAGGCGTACGACTCACTGTCGCGAGATTTCTTTATAAAAGCGCTACGACGTCATGGGTATCCAGAGCAGTTCGTTAACACGGTAGAGCTCCTGCACGACGGCACGTCGGCCAGATTCCTGGCCAATGGATTTCTCTCACGAAGGGTCCAAGTGACTAGTGGCATACGTCAAGGTTGTCCTCTGGCCCCGCTGCTCTTCATACTGGCCCTGGACGCGCTCTACCAACAGCTGGACATACACCAGCAATTAACAGGGATTCACCTCCGCTCTGCCGGCGGAGCTGTTGAGATCAAAGTCGCGGGCTACGCGGATGACACGGCTTCATACCTAGCATCTCCCCGGTTGATCCCAACGCTATTAACCATAACCGACGCTTTTGGGGCGGCGGCCGGGTTGACGCTAAACCACAAAAAAAACGATGGTGGTCGCTCTACATCCGAGAGGTTTACCGTCCGATACGGCCCTCCCCTCTCCCCTCCAGCTCCAGCCCGTCACGGACGTGGGGCGGTATCTGGGCATTGAGGTGGGAAGTAGACCGGACCCGGAGCGAACATGGCGGCTAGCAGACAAGCAGCTGAGAACAAGACTGACCCTGGCCAGATGTAAGACGTTTATGGTAGACCACCGCAGCGCAATCGCAGCGGCGGTGATCATCCCGAAGCTGACATACATTGGTCAACATGCATGGCCCTCCCTGAACACCATCGGCCGTATGTCGAAAAAACTTAAAAATTTCGTATGGCATGGAACCTTTTGTAATGGGCCCCTCCATTACATAAGTAGGTAGATTTCTTTACAAAAGTAGGTGCATCAGCACACGACTAGCGTGTGCTGAAATGCTGTCATACCATTGGCTGATATATGGGGAGCCAGACCCATTATTAGCCAATTGGACTATGA